TTGAGAACTGCTAGACACTGATGAAGCCCAAGCAGTCCTTGAAATTAGGTGGAACGATTTTGAAGTCCGTCTGTCAGAGAATTTTAAATTTTAATTAATTTTTTCCCGGGGTTTTTGTCAGGGAAAACAGAGAAATGTCAGGGAATTTTATGTTTGAAAATAGCTCGACACCCTGATTAGGCCTGAACAGCCCCTGAAATTAGATGGAACGATTTTGAGGAAGGATGAAATTGGACGAATCGGAGAATCGCCCGATGCAAAGAATAAGAAATGGGCCGCATTTAACAGAAGGAACCAAGCCACATCAGCTATTGCCGAATTTTCTTGGGCAATTTTTTTTTTTTTTTTTTTTTTTTTTTTTTTTCTTTTTCAAGAGAACGTTTGTGCGGATGCCCCTGACAATTTTAAGGAATTTGCTTCTGACTATACAGAAAATTCACTGAAATTCGCACTAAAATCAGCACAACCCTTTTCATGTAAAACATTTAATTGCCCAATTAAATTTGGCAATAGCTGGTGTGGCTTGATTCCTTTCTGCACGATGCGATCCAATTGGCAACCCTGTCATTCAGTCAATAAATTCCTCCCGTCTTGGAGCCGTACATCAAAACTTTACGGCCGCCTCATCCGCGAGTTAGGAACTCGCAAAATAACCATTTAACCCGACCCAGGGCCCGTGTCTCCTCAACGGTATTTTATCACGCTTCGGGGAGAAGACTCTGACTGGACCTCGGGAAGAATCACCTAACTCTCTCGAAAATTTCAGCGTAGATACGCGCTTCTCGCAGCATATTATCAATTCGAAGATCGCAAATCAGGTCCGAAAATCGGCGGACCCGCCCACACGGTGTTGGGCTTAAACCCTTTTTGAAAATACTGTTATTAGAGTTCATTTTGGTTTATGGGAGGCTTCGGATAATTCGACTGGGAAAGGAGTCGACCTGTTGCCATTTTTGCACGCTAATTGGATCGCATTTTATTGGCAAAAAGGAACCATTGCTAGTGCAGTGATTTCAAAATCTTGCAACTTCTCCTTTAAGTTTGAAAATACTTACTGTATGGTCAGTGTAATAAAACTATTAATTTTTTAAAAGGAAGCCATAAACATTTGCTATTCAGGGACTTTTGTTAGATGGTTATGAAGAATTGACACTTTTACAACCCTGTAATCGCGCTGGCCCCTTCTTGCTAAATGCGATTCAATTGCAGCGAGCTGATTATTGAAATTGATAGACTTAACGATAGACAATGGATACATTGGGAAAATGGAGCGATTCCGTCGGTGAAAGCGGGTAGTCGGACAGAGCAGGTACACTAGACTAACTATAACTATCGGCAATCCACGGGAGACACCGCAGTTCTCGATTCCTTACCATAGCTTCAAATGAGGAACTATCGAATGTCGATCATTCACGCCTCGCCACTAGTGAAGTGAGTCACTGGGAGAGGTCGAAATAGACGTGGTTAAAGTGGTTCCATTACTTTTTTCGCGGAGTTTTCTTCCAGAAACTTTCCTAAAAATATAATGTAGCCGAACGCGCATCAACATTTGCAATGTCTCAGTCAAAAAATTTCAAGTCCAACTTTTCTCAAATTCTCGTTTTACCGCGCGGAGTTCATCGTGTCTTGGTCTATAGATCTCCATCTTAGCATTGCTATCTATCGATGAACGCCTTTCGATAGAGATGCTCGAATCGACCCGCGGAACAGCAATAGCAGCGGAGTGGTCAATCTACGTGGATCATCATTCCTCTCTTCATTATGCGCCCAGTTTGAGTTTTATTAGCTCGCTTTTACGAGTTGGGCCAGGGTCCCCAAGGAGGGCTGAGGGGGGGGGGGG